AAAATTTGCTATTCAAACATGTTTCTAACTTCTTAAAAATTATAAAATGGCCCATAACTTTTTAGAAATTTTCGACACGAAACGTTTCCGAAACGCGGAAACGCTAAGATGTTGAAATGTCCGTGCTACATAGCTCAAGAGGTATACATACAAATATGAAAAAAAAAATCATAATTTAACTGCACAAGAGGTTCTGTAATTGATTATAAAGTAATTTACCATAAAAAAGAATGCCAAAGAGAGTAGAGAATAGACGGGTCGTGTGTATGCATGGAACACAATAGTGTGTTGGGATGACAATAGAGCGGATTTGAGTGGGTACTGCAATCCATGCCCTTACCCTTTGCTCTGAAATTCTCCATCCCATCCCCATTTTAATCCTTCAATTTTATAAATAGGGTGCCCCCATTGCCGGTTCAAGCCCATATGGGGGCCCTAGACAAAAAAATAATTTTGGGTCCTTTAAATTAACTTTTTAATATAAATTAAATATTCTGGATATTTTATTTTAGTTTAAATACATTAATATAAATTAATATATTATTTTTTATACAAATTCGAGCTATATATTAATATTTTTTATTTAAATAAAAAAAATACAAATTTTATTTTGTATTTGAGAGCCCTAATTATAGTAAATATAATTTTGGGCCCCTAATTATAATAGTCATAAGTTAGGAACCCTAGGCATAGGCCTAAGTTGCCAATCACCTAGGGCCGGCCCTGGGTGCCCCGAATTCGCCCCATGAACATAATGCGGGTACCCCCGCAAAATTCCTTATTTTAATTTTTATTTTTTTTAATGCAATGTAGGTACTTATAAGGTTATACTATTGTACAACGGTTGTGAAATACACCAGTTATTCGTTAACCTTTTTTTGGGGTATTTGACAAAACCACTCCATTCAATTTTTACTTTTTGATAAATCCATTTTTTTAATTGATATTTGTTATAAATATAATTGGCTTAATATATCCAAAATACTCCTATTTACTATTGGGGACATTACAAATAAGCCCATCAATGGATACTTATTCATAAAGAGATCCAGACCAAAAACTCCTTTACAAATAAGTCCACACATGGTCCAGATTTTTGTAAAAAACTAAAATAGCCCCTCATACTTTAATATGCTCCAATTGCATCATTAATTTAATTTAACCTCAATTTGACCCTAAATTTCTCATATTATTCAATTTTGACCCAAAACTTTTTTTTTCAATTTTTTTTTTGCCGCCGGATTCCGGCGTTGACCTTTTTTTCTTCTTTTTCTTTTTGTGACATTTTTATTCTTCGTTTAAACAATAATATTGTTGGATTGACAGTAATATTAACTATATTACTGTTAAACCCAATAATCTTAACTAAACTACAGTTTAACACAACAATATTGCTATATTAATCTCTAGCACAGTAATATTAACACAACAATACTCATTATTATTGTGTAATAGAGTAATATTACTATGTTGACCGTTCAACAAATGTAAACATAATAAAAAACTTAAAGAATTAATATTACTGTGAGTGACAGTAATATTACTATAACAACAGTAATATTACCGTCAACCACAGTAATATTACAATAATAGACAGTAATATTATTACGTTACTCCGTGAATAACTCAAACAAACAAAAGAATCCAAACAAAATAATAATATTGATGTGGTTGACAGCAATATTACTATAACAACAGTAATATTACCGTCAACCACATTAATAATATTACAATAATAGACATAAATATTATTGCGTTGACTTGTCAACAAATCAAACAAAATTTTAAAAAATGACAAAAAAAAAATAAAAAATTAATAATAATATTACGTTAATTTACCGTCAACGGCATAACAATTACATAAATGTATTGTCAACAGCAGTACAATTACGTTAATGTACTGTTATTGACATTATAATTACGTTAATTTACTATCAGTGACTGCACAATTACGGTCAACGTTTAGCGGCGGACGTAAAAAAAATAAGAAAAATAATTTAAAAAAAACACTAAAAAAAGTCAACACCGGAGACCGGCGGCGGAAAAAAACGGACCAGAAAAAAAAAACCGACAAGTCAACGCCGGAATCCGGCGGCAAAGAATTTTTTTGAAAAAAAAAAGGGTTTTTGAAGAAAAGAGTCAAAATTGGATTTTTGTGGACAAAATTGATTAAATTGGGGTTACAATTAAGAATTGGGTATAAATAGTTGGGGGTAATATTGTTATATACATGAATGTTTCCTTTATTTATAATAAATAGGCTGCGGCTATGCGCAATATTAATTCCACTTGTGCAAGACCAAATTAAAGAAAAATTCAAAAAGATTCCATTTTATTAAGATGAAATGACAAATATACCCATAAATTAAATTGGCTTTTGTTTGCTAATGAAATACCAAATAACAAATAATGAAAAAAAAAACAAAAAAAAAAGGAAGAAAATGAAGAAAACAAAGAAAACGTAAAATTACACCACCCCCCACCACCCCAAATCCTACCATACGCCCAAGCTCCGCCGCTCTTGATGTGACGTTTTTTATGTCTTGTACATATTTTATAAACATTGGATGAATTTGGACATTAAGCGTCTTTGCATTCGCCTTTTGCTATAAAAAAATAAATGAATATTGCAAAAAAAGTAATTGGAAATAGAAATTTAAAGAAAATATGAAACAACAAAATTTCGACATTAATGTGTCGAATATATGTCCATAAATTCGATACCTTAATGTCGAAATTTAGTATATTTGGACTAATTTGCAAACAGTTAAATTTCGACACTAAGGTATCGATTTTGTACTCCAAAATCGACATCTCAATGTCGATTTTTTACTATAAAATTCGACATGTACATGTCGACCTCGTCTGCGCGGGATTTTAAAAAAAAAATATGAAACAGTAAAATTTCGACATTAGGTGTCGATTATATGTCCATAAATTCGACATAATGTCGAAATTTAGTATATTTTGACTAATTTGCTAACAGTTAAATTTCGACACTAAGGTGTCGATTTTGTACTCCAAAATCGACATCTCAATGTCGATTTTTACCTATAAAATTCGACCTGTACATATCGACTGCGTCTGCGTGGGATTTGTTTTTGGAAAAATGATACTCTAGCTAAAAAACACATAAATGCATACCTTCTTGGGTTCTTCCACCATAGAATCTTCTATTTTGATGTCTTCTAACTCCATACTTTCCATCTTAAGATTTGTTGAGTTTTGATGATTTCGAATGTTTAGGTTTTGTGGGTTTATGGAAGAGGAAGGTGAAAGGTCTTGTGGGTTTTGGAAGATGGAGAAGATGAAAGTTGGTCTTGTGGTTTTGTGATAGGGTTTTTTGTGTTTTTGAGTTTTTTGTATTGCACATTTGGAAGTTTTCTATTTTTTTAACAAGTAACGGTATTATAGTATTTATACATTGAAAATTTTAATTTAGTCTTGCACAAGTGCAATTAGCCGTGCATATAGCCGCAGCCTAATAAATATTAGGGCGAATGGCAAAAAGGTCCATCACATGGGACTTAAATGTACATTGGTCCAAAAACAACAGTCTCTATATTAAACTCATCCCTAGACCTGACCACCGGTTCGGTTAGAACCGGAACCGGAACCAGAACCGAACCGGGGTCAACGGTTTTGGAACCGAACCGGAACCGGTTTGACCAGAACCGGAACCGGAACCGAAAAAACCGGTTCGGTTCCGGTTCCTCATTTTTGGAACCGCGAACCGCCGGTTAGAACGTTGGAACCGGTTTTAAAAAAAAAAAAATTCAAATAATAAAATGTCAGCTTTATTAAAATAATAAATAAAAAGTCCTACCCAATTGTCCACTCCAGTCCAAAGTAACGGTCACTTTAAAAATAAAATTATATTAATATTCACATGGCAATTTGTAAACGGTCAGATTGACAAATATCAGAAAGAAAAAAAAAAAAAAAATTTAACAGTAGTAAATTAGAAACTGTCAGATTTTATAAATAAAAATAAAAAGTCTTTCTTAAATAAATATAATATATATTCTTTCTTAAATAAATATAATATATATTAAAAATAAAAATTGAAGAGCACTGTAGTCTGCAAGTCTGTAAGTAACATAAAGAGTTGTGTATAATTTCTCAAGTAATTTTAAATAATTTTAGAGAGTTTGTGTATATATTTTATATTTTAATATAAGTATAATTGTCCTTAAGTAATTTAAAAAAAAATTATAAAAAAAAAAAAAAAAAAAAAAAAAAGTTATATGAGAACCGGACGGTTCTACGGTTGTAACCGGGAACCGAACTGGAACCGAACCGGAACCGGTTCGGAACCGAACCGCTTGGAACCGGATTTTTTCGGTTCGGTTCCGGTTCCTCCAAAATCGGAACCGGAACTGGAACCGAACCGAACCGTGGTCAGGTCTACTCATCCCCATGTTTTTAGTCTAAGATACCCTCCATAATATAATTCTTATCAATTCCATCCACTATGCTCTAACTTTCTTAATATTACACATTGACCCCGGATTTAAACAAATATATCAAATTAACCCCCAAAATATTTTTTTTTCATAAAATAATTTTTTTTTTCCGGCCAGATTCCGGCGTTGACAGCCGGAGATCGCCGGTCTCCGACGTTGACATCTTTTTTTTCTCTTTTTTTTTTGAAATTCTTTTTTTTTCCTGAAATTTTTTTCCGGCCAGTCAACCACCGTTGACTGCCGGTCTCCAGCGTTGACTCTTTTTTTTTCGAATTTTTTTTTTCTTAGAAAAAAATATTTTAATTAATATTACTGTCTTGACTACTAAATTACTGTCTCAGACAGTAATATTATGAATATTATTTTCCCGAACAACAATATTATAAATATTATTGTCTAAGACAGTTAAATTACTGTTGGAGACAGTAATTTTACGGCCAAGATAGTAATATTAATTAAAATAATTTTTTTAAGAAAAAGGATTTCAAAAAAAAAAAGTCAACGGCGGGTCTCTGGCGGTCAACGGCGGTAAATGGCGAAAATCAGATACAACTGGAAAATTATACTCCTTGGCGCATTTCACATAAATGCGAAAGGGATATTTATCAAAGCAAGCTTTCAGCATAGCCACACAAGTTTCAAAATAATTGAGGAGAGCTGTTTTACGTACACCCTACACACATACGTTATATATATCTTCATCATAAATATCTCATCAAAGTCTTCTTTCAAAAAATAAATTAGCTAAGAAATAATATACATGGCAGCTTACGCAGCTCTAATTTCTGTTATGAATATCATAGAGCAGATCCAGCTTCATCCTCACCCTCCAATTTCTCTCGACCAATTTCAGATTGAACCTCTCGTTAAAAACGTGACTTTCTTTCTCGACTTTCTTGAATGTTATTCCCAGTTAATTAGCAGCCAAGACACATACCACTTATTGGAGAGTCGCATTGCAAACACAACTTATGCGGTCCAAGACATAATCGAATCCCACATAGTCGATCAAATCCACGGGGCGAATATCGGTTCGGATAAAGAATTCTATAACGGTCTAACGGAAGTGATACAAGAAATGGATTTTATCAAGAAAGAAGTTATGCAGATGAAAGAGAATAACATGGGATTATTTCTGCATAAAGATTCATCGACGGTTGATATTGGTCCGTTAAGATCTCGTTTCACGGGACAAAATGCAACGGTGGGATTCGATGACGTCATGGAAGAGATGATGGATATGCTGACCGGACGACAATCCACTCGCCAGATCATTCCAATTGTAGGTATGGGCGGCATTGGTAAGACTACGCTTGCTCGAAATCTTTACGGAAGTCGACTTATAGTTAGACACTTTGATATGCTTGCTTGGGCTACAATATCTCAAGAATATAGTATGAGAGGAATCCTTTTAGAGATTCTTCTTTGTATTAAAAGCCAAGAGAGTAAGGAAACTTATAGTGCAATGAGGGAAGATGAATTAGGCCTTGTGTTGCATAAAACTTTAATAGGTAGAAGGTATTTGATTATAATGGATGACATGTGGAGTATCGAGGCGTGGGAATTGGTGAAGTTCTTCTTTCCGGATAACAATAACGGAAGTCGAATAATTGTAACCACTAGGCTAAGAATTGTGGCTTCTCAATTAACCGACTCTTGTGGCATTGAGATGAGTTTTCTAGACGATGATCAAAGTTGGAACCTACTTTGTAGAAATGTTTTTGGAGAACAAGATTGTCCTAATCTTGAATTGGAGGAAATTGGTAAGGAGATTGCGAAAAGTTGTAAAGGGCTTCCTTTGTCGATTGTGGTGATTGGAGGACTTTTAGCAAAGTCGGAACGTACGCGAGAATATTGGGAGTACGTTTTAGAAAATATATCCTCGATTGTGAATTTAGAGGACAATGAGCGTTGCTTGAGAATACTAAACATGAGTTATGACCATTTGTCCGTTCATCTGAAGCCATGTTTTCTGTATCTGGGATCGGTTTTTCCCGAGGATGATAAAATTCGCGTCTCGTGGCTCATCAAACTATGGGTTGCTGAAGGATTTCTGAAACCGAAAAGTGGGAAAAGCATGGAATTAGTTGCGGAAGAGTACTTAAAGGACCTTATTGAGAGAAACCTCGTTTTAGTTCATACTCGAGGGTCTAGTGGAAAAATAAAGTTTTGCATCATCCATGACCTATTGAGGGACCTATGCTTAAGACAAGCCGAGAAAGAGAAGTTCGTTTGTGTCTTCACGAGGAATAATCATAGTTCGCTTGATGCGCGACAAATAGAAACACAACATCGAATTTGTATTCATCGAGGCAAGTGGGAGGAGGAACTAGATATCCCTCGAATGAGTCATGCGGTGCAATCTGCATCGCTAACTCGCTCTATGATATGCGATTTTAAGGAAGTTCTGCCATCACTCAACATGAGATTGTTGAGGGTACTTAAATCGAATGATCGAGCTTTACATTATGGAGATATATATTCAATAGAAGCAATCTTTCAGCTAGTTAACTCACGGTACCTTGCTTTTAGAGTCGATTGGATGCAGATTTCTAAGTATCTTTCTTCACTCCACCATATTTGGAATCTACAGACACTAATCGTGTACGGTGCATGGAATACAATAGCACCACCAGAAATTTGGAAGATGCATCAACTTAGGCATATCGAGTTCATAATGCTTGATCTCCCCGATCCTGAAATGGATGGACGAGATCAAGACAAAATAATTGTTTTGGAGAACCTACAAACACTCCTCCAAATAAGGAACTTCAAATGTAGTGAAGAGGTGGTGAAGAGGATCCCAAATGTCAAGAAACTTCGATTATATTATCAGGATGTCGAGGAATTGTCAAGTTTTTGTCTGAACAATCTTTGTCGTCTTGAAAAACTCGAATCCCTCGGCTGCTACTTTGCCCCGGAAAAGGAGCCGATTATTAGGAACCATATGCTGCAGAATCTCGACTTCCCACATTCACTCAAGAAATTGTCATTGTATCGGACACGCCTCCATTGGGGAGACATGGCAATAAAGATAGGTTCGTTGCCGTTTCTTCAAGTGCTCAAACTGGAGTCGAATGCTTTCTGCGGAGATGAGTGGGAAACGATTGAAGGGCAGTTCAGTAATTTGAAGTTCTTGCTTATTGAAGGCTGTGGTGAACTAAGGTATTGGAGGACAGAGAGCTCACATTTCCCATGCCTTGAGCAACTTTCTCTTCGAGATTTGTATATATTGGAGGAGATCCCTTGGGATATCGGAGAAATACCAACGCTCGAAACTATTGTGCTAAAATATTGCAGCCATTCTGCAGTCATTTCTGCTAAGGAAATAGTAGAGGAACAACTCGAAAATGGGAACGAAGACCTTCGAGTTAGAGTTTATTTTTGGAAACACTACCAACTGGAGAACTTGGTAACTACTCCAAACTTTCAAGTTGAAATTCATTGATATCAAGTCTTCTTCTATTTGTAAAACATATGAAAAAAAAAATTGGAAGGGAAAGAAATGTAATAATATAGACTCATCTTTGATTCGCTGGAAATTTTTGAGAAAAATGATCTCTTAAGTTTATATATATATTTATACATATATATTAAAAAGAAAAAAAAAAAAAAAAAAAAAAAAAAAAAAAAAAAGGAAAAATTTGACAAAACCCCCCATTACACAAGTGTCATTACAATGAACTCAATTTTATTTTACATTTTTAAGATAAATCCAAAACAATTTTTATTAATTAAAAACACCTAATTATCACCATTGTGCCCCTAATTAAAAAATAACGTATAATATCTTTTCCATTAAGAGATTTTAATAACTAGAGAGTTAGTTACCCATTTTAATGACCATATTAATTATAATTTTCAATAGGGGTAATTTTCTATAGACCCTCCATTCTAAGACTATATACATCCTAGTTCAAGTCATTATTAGTCTTATTTTGCTAAAACTCACTACTAATATTTTTGGCTGATCTGCTCTAATTTGCAGCAAAATAGGAAAAATCCAATGTTATCAGAACCGGACCGGACATAAAACCGGAGAGGTGTTCGGGTCACGGTTGGACCGGTTGAACCGGGTTTAACCCGGGTTTTTTAATTTTTTTAATTTCTAATTATTTTATTAATTTTAATGTTGTGGAAATACTATTTCTGAAATTTTTAATATATTTTACTCAAGTTTTTCATTATATCCATCTCATTTTATTTTTTTACGTCCATATTTTTCTTTAGTTATCTTATTAATATTTTTTTTAATTTAATTATTTAATATCCCCATATATTGTTTTTCCTTAAATTAATTACGTGTACCTTTCTTCATCTCCCTCCCCACTCTCTCTCCACCTTTAAGAATTTCTCTCTCCTCCCTGCACCCACTCTCTCTCTTCTCAACTCCCTTTTCTTCTTCTTTTATCTCCATATTCAGATCATTTAATCTCCATTTCCGGCGATCTAGTACTCGGATCCCGCTGCCCACGACCCAAATTGGTTCGATCCGTCCAGATTTGGTCGTCATCGACCTTCACTGCCCAGATCCGGCCGTTCATGAACACGAACAAACTATTTCTAACGAAAACCAGGGTCTCTACCGGTTTCCGGTTTTATCCGAGTTTCCGGTCGAACCGGAGTTTTTGTCCAATAACCCCGGTTTTCAATTTCTCTGGGTTTCGATGTTGAACCAGACCGGATATGTGGCGGGTCGCGGTCGGACCGGTCGGACCGGCCGGTCCGGTCCGGTTCTGAGAACCATGGAAAAATCCCTTCCTAAGTATAATTATCCACCAAATCAAGTTTTAGCTAAAATTGAGGCAAAAAAATCTCAAATTGAGGCAAAAAAATCTCAAATCCCCTACTTTTTTTGTAAATATGTGACTTAACCCTTTGTTTTTTTTTTTCTCTCTCCATAATCTTATATAAATTATAAATAAATATATCATACTTAATATAAAATATAAAATAAAATAGTTAAAACTTGTATTATTTTATGAATAAAATTTATGAATATTACTTATTTTTTTAATTTTTTATTTTTTGAGGGCGAGGAGAGAGATAGTAGTTAAATGAGTGATATAGAGTCAAATGTGGGATTTTATTTATATTTTCCATAACTAACTATTTTAATATAAATAATAATTAAGGGTATTTATGTCAATAGAAAAATAATAAATAATTTAATTTAATTTATATTATATTTGTTAGTCAAGGGTAGCTATAATCAACTAGCAAAATGGACCACCAGCCATATAAGTTCTAAATAGGGGGTCCAGTTAATTATTCCTATCCAATAACCTCCATTCTCTCTCTCTCTAGATCTCCCTCTGTATATAGATCTCTCTCCATGTTGAAGTTTTGTTATCACTCTAAGAAGACAAGAAACCCTCCTAGTTATGAGTACCGTAATCTTCTTGCCTACAGACACCTTGTACGTTATATGTATATAGCGGATATAATAATAATAATAATAATAATAATAATAATAATAATAATAATAATAATAATAATAATAATAATAATAATAATAATAATAATAATAATAATAATAATAATAATAATAATAATAATAATATTATTATTATTATTATTATTATTATTATTATTATTATTATTTATAGTATATATCTCTTAGTTTTACCTTGTGTAATAGGTTAGAGTTTCTTACATGTAACTATATATATGATTAATATACGTGAGAGACATTATTCTCTCTTTCTCCAACTTTATTTCTCCTATATGGTATCAGACACTAAGTTAACCTAGTCGTCACCACCACCCTCCCCTCAGCCGCCGTCGCCTCTCTTCTTCTCCATGGCCGGTGACGAAGCTACTCCCTCCACCGCCCCTCTCAATCCTTTCCACTTTGCTCATGCCATCTCCAATATCAAATCTCTCCTCCCCGTCATCCTTGATCTAAAAAATTCCAACTATCAAAAGTGGATCCATTTTTTCACAATTACCATCGGTCGTTACTGCCTCTCCGATCTTCTCCATGGAAAACCCCGACCGGACTCAATTTTCGTTGATAAATGGCAACGCGCCGACTATCTCCTCCAATCTTGGATCTACGGCACCATCTCCGATGATTTGTCCAGCATGGTTCTCTCCAAAACATCCACCGCCAGTGATCTCTGGACCGCCATCTCCTCTCTCTCTTCACCGATAATAAACGAGCCATTGAACTTGAAGAGAAATTCAAGTCTCTCAAGAAAGGCACTCTCTCTATTCACGATTATTGCCAAATAATCAAAACCATTGCGGATAGCTTGGCCGATGTCGGAAATCCAATCTCCGACAAACAGTTCGTTCTACAAACCCTGCACAGTCTTCCGAAAAATTACGGGACCGTCAGCAAATCTCATCTCCTTTCAAAATCCCCTTCCCACTTTTCTAGGACCCGCTCCAAAAACATCGGGTCACCCATCCATTCCAGCGGCTCAAGCCTACTTTACTGGACCACCAGAACCATACAACGGCTACTCGGTCCCTGCCCAAGTTCATCCCCAACAGAAGCCATGGCCCATCTCCAGTAGTTCCATCAACTGTTACAAAACTTCATCCAACAGCGCCAACGTGGTGGATCCGGCAAATCGTTTGAATACAGTGACACTTTAGCAGCCTATCGAGTCATAGTGATTCATGGACAGCGGGGCGACCACTCATATGGCACCACACTCATGTAATTTTAATTTTATTTTTAATCCAAGCAGTAATTTCCCCAAACATGTCGTCGTCGGTAATGGTTCCACCCTCCCCATCGCCCACATAGGCCACACAATTCTTCACACCACTCATTTCCGCCTAACAAATGTCTATGTCACACCCAATATCATCAAACACCTTATCTCGATTCGAAATTTCACCCGCGATAAATCATCTTCGGTTGAATTTGACCCGTTTGGTTTTTCTGTGAAGGATCTTCGGAGTCGAGTCGAGATTTTCAGGTGCAATAGCTCCGGCGACCTATATCCATTTGGCGTCCTTTCTTCGACCCCACCTCCCGCTGCTGTCCTCACCAACACCTTCGTCTCAAACTCTTTGGCAACGACGTCTAGGCCTCCCCGGCAAACACGTCATGTTCCGTTTATTTTCTAGAACTTTTTTTCTCATAATAAAGACCATAGGGAGTCTCTTTGTAATGCCTATCAATTAGGCAAACATTTTCATCTACCGTTTTTTTCTCAAAAATCTACTACTGTTGCTCCATTTCACATTATTCATGCTGATTTATTGACTTCTCATGTCTCTAGCCTTACAAGTTTCAAATACTATCTTGTGTTAGTTGATGATATTACCCATTATTTATGGACTTTTCCTCTTCGAAATAAATCGGACGTTTTTGCAACGTTTGTCAATTTTCATACCCTTCTAAACGCTCAATTCCAACATCCCCTTAAAGCCTTATAAAGTGATAATGGCCGTGAATTCAAAAATGCTGATTTTCAAAACTACTTTACTGAACACGATATCCTAAATCGTTTTTCGTGTCCCACACCTCCCCTCAAAACGAACACGCAGAACGGACCATCCGCACTATAACCAACATGATTCGATCCCTCATCTTTCAAGCTCATCTTCCTCCTATTTATTGGGTCGAAGCCCTTCATATGGCCACCCACCTACTCAATATCGTACCTACCAAAACAACACAAAACCGGACCCCTCAGGAAGCTCTTTACCTCACCAAACCTACATACTCGCATATTCGAGTATGCGGCTGTCTCTGTTATCCCAACCTCACCGCCACCACACCACATAAACTCGCCCCCCATTCTACTCCTTGTGTCTATCTCGGTTACCCTTCCTCTCACAAAGGCTATCGTTGCCTCGATAGATCCCCTGGCCGAATCATAATTTCTCGTCATGTTACCTTCGACGAAACTTACTTTCCTTTTTCTGAGTCAACTCTGCCCACAAACACTACCTCAGTTGCCTTGGACGAAAACACACCCTCACTGTTCCTCCTCCCTCACACTTCGTCTAACTAATGCAACAGTTCATCCAACTGTTCCAACAGTGCACCACCCTGTTCCAACAATTCGTCCAACAGTCCTCCAACATAGCCGACACCTGCTTCACCTGCGGCACCACCTTTCGACCATGACCAGCTCACAGCCCCTTCTCCTACTCCCACATCTCTTTCTCATTCTCCTACTCCCACACCTCCCCCACCCCCCCTGCTCACCCTATGGTGACTCGTAGTAAAGCGGGCATCCACAAACCCAAAGTCCATTCTCTCTAGTTGCGTCATCTACCTCATCCATTCACACCAACTATCGCCAAGCTCTTATTGACCAAAATTGGCAAAACGCCATGATTGAGGAATATACTTCTTTAATTAAAATCAATACTTGGAATGTTGTGCCCCGGACCCGTTCACTAATGTTATTTCTGGTAAGTGGATATACAAACAGAAACTCAAGTCTGATGGCTCCCTTGAGCGATACAAAACACGGTGGGTTGTTCGCGGTTTTCACTAGCTGGCTGGTATCGACTTTGACGAGACTTTTAGCCCAGTTGTCAAACCAGCTACTGTTCAAACAGTTCTCAGTATTGCTCTCTCACGATCATAGCCAACCCACCAACTTAATGTGAAAAATGCCTTCTTACATGGCAATCTCTCTGAAACTGTCTACTGCGTGCAACCTCCCGGATTCGTCGATCCATCTCGCCCCACTCACGTGTTTCGTCTCAACAAAGCCCTCTACGGTCTCAAGCAGGCACCCCGTGCTTGGTATAAGCATTTTACCTATTACATTACCACCATGGGGTTCAGAAAATGCAAGTCTGACCCTTCACTCTTTGTGTATTGTCGCAACAGTTCACGCGGCTGTCGTAACACAGTTCATGCGCCTTCCTTGCACTTACGGCCTCCACACCTGAATTGCTCCGCTCTATCATTGTTGCCCTTAATCAGGAGTTCGCAATGAAAGATCTTGGCGATCTTCACTACTTTCTCGGCATCTCAGTCACTCGCTCGTCGAATGGGCTATTTCTCTCCCAACGCAAGTACGCCGACGAGATACTAGAACGTGCACACATGGCTTCCGCGACCTTTGTCTCACGCCGGCTAATACAAAGAGCAAGTTGTCTTCGACAACTAGTCCCCCGGTTGCTGACCTTACACTCTATCGCAGCCTCGCTGGTGCACTTCAATGCCTCACATTTACTCGTCCCGACATTTGCTATGCCGTGCAACAAATTTTTTTATTCATGCACGATCCAAGGGAACCTCATATGGCTGCTCTCAAGCGTATCCTTCGCTACATTCGTGACACTCTCGACCACGGCCTTCTCCTCTCCCCCAATCCGGACCTCTCTCTTGTCACTTACTCTGACGCCGATTGGGGTGGCTGTCCTGACACTCGTCATTCAACATCGGGTTATTGTGTTTTCCTCGGCAACAACCTCATTTCATGGTCCTCCAAATGACAGGTCACCACTTCACGATCTAGTGCAGACGCCGTTGCCGAAACGACTTGGTTATGCAACCTACTTTCTGAGTTGTTGTAACAACGTCAGTGCCATCTACTATCCAGGAATCCTATTCAACACTCTAGTACAAAACATGTGGAAATTGATATCCACTTTGTTCGAGATAAAGTTTCTTTGGGACACGTTCGAGTTCTCCACGTCCCATCCGCCTACCAGTTTGCCGATATCTTTACGAAAGGACTCCCTACTCAACTGTTTCAACAGTTTGTCTCCAGTCTTCACGTCCTCTCCCTTCCTGTTTCGACTGCGGGGGTGTATTAACGGGGCTAAAAATATATTTTTTAGCTGTCGGTGCAATAATTTATTAAGTTCAGGTATGCTCGTGCAACTTTTTTCCGTTCAGGGGGTAAAGCGCAAAAACGTCAAAGTTTAGGGGATTTTTTGCAGTTAACCGTAAAATATATAGAGTATCTAGATATATGGCACTTTACAAACAAGCCCAATACTTATTCATAAAGATGTCCAAACAATAAACTATTTTACAAAAAAGTCTACACATGGTCCAAAGGTTTGTAAAAGACTAAAATATCTCATCACATTTTAATATGCTCCAATTTCATCATTTAATTTAATTTAACATCAATTTGACCCCAAGTTTCACAAATTATTCAATTTTGACCCAAAACACAATTTGAGTACAATTTCGTCCGTCGCCGTCGTTGGCCGCTGGTCTCCGGCATTGACTACTCTTTTATTTATTTTTTTCTTCCTAATTTTTCACCGATTTTCGACGTTGACTTTTTCGATTTTTTTTTCTACTTTTGCCGCTGCTGACCGGCGGCCGGTGTTGAATTTTTTTACCTCTAACATCTTTTTGCCCCCGTTTAAACAGCAATATTGTTGTGGTTGACAGTAATATTAATTATATTACTATTAAACACAATAATATTAACTAGAATATAGTTTAACACAGTAATATTGATATTCTAATCTCTACCACAGTAATATTAATACAAGAAAAGTCATTATTATTGTGTAATAGAGTAACATTAATATGTTGACCATTCAACAAAGGTAAACATAATAAAAAGTCAAACCAATTAATATTGATGTGGTTGACAGTAATATTACTGTAACAACAGTAATATTATCGTCAATCACAGTAATATTATTATATTTATAGTAATATTATAATAGCAGACAGTGATATTATTACGTTGCTCCGTCAACAACTTAAACAAAACCAAAAATCCAAAAAAATAATAATATTGACGTGGTTGACAGTAATATTATTGTGTTTACAGTTATTTTACTATCAACGACAGTAATATAATTACGTTTACTTCTCAACAAATCAAACAAAAAAAGCCAAAAAATAATAATATTGTTGCTGACTCTAATTGTACTATCGTTGACAGTACAGTTACATAAATGTACTGTCAACGCCAATGTAATTACGTTAATGTACTGTCAGTGACAGTATAATTACTGGTAATGACAGTACAATTACGGTCACGTTTAGTGACGGGGGTAAAAATACGAATACAAATTTTAGGAAAAAATAATTAAATTATTAAAAAATCAACGCCGGAAACCGGCGGCGGAAAAAACAGGAAAAAAATATCGAAAAAGTCAGCGCCGGAAACGACGGCAAAAAAATAATTTCAGAAAAACAAAATCAAAATTGAATTTTTGTGGTCAAATTTGATTTAATTGGGGTTACAAACTTACAATGAAGAATTGGGTGTAAAAGGTTGAGGGTAATTTTGTCCAATACATTATTTTTTCCTTTATTTATAATACATACTAATACTAAATGGATGGACTTATTGGATAAATAGATATATTATATAATCCCTTATTAATAAATATGATTGGTCATGGACTTATGCACAAAAACCCCTTATTAATTAGCAATTAGAATGTCGACACTGATTTTAACTAATTGCACTTGATTACCACCGACTTAATAGCATATTTATTGTAAATACATTAGTGTTAATTACTAATTTAGCTTCTAAAATAAAAATACATTTTTTATTATTAATAAAAACATTAATTCTAATAATATATATATATATATATATATATATATATATATATATATATGCTTAATTTTAATTAATTTGTACCCGTCAAACCCGATAAAAAAACTACTCCACTAGAACCGGATGAATAGATCCATCTACAGGATTAACCCGTGAAACCCGTCTCGCCCCGCTATAAAAAATGACGTTGTTTTGTTTATATTATGTAGTGTAATAAATTAATAATGTATAATACATGAATAAAGTATCTCTTATATGTCAAAACTTATATCTATAACGACGACATCGTCTCGTTTTGTCTATGGTTATCTATTTGATTTTAAATCTTGTCTTATAAAGGTTTGAATTTAGTGACATTTTTTTTGGATTTATGGTTAAAACGTATTAAAATTGATTTACATGTTATTCACGTTTGTTTCAATTTAAAATTTTACGCTTGGTCATTCATTTTTATTTCTAAATAACTTCGCGTCAAACTTATAAATTATAAAAGAAAATAATGTTTTTTAAATTACAAGGGGTTTCGATCCGTGAAGGTTGAATTCTACTTTAAAACCGCAATAAACTCATCTATCCTAAACAAGTCGAAAACCTACAAGTTTGGTTTCCTAAAACCAAGAACCGTTGATTGATGGGACGATGGCGGGTTTTGCTAGAACCCGCAGGTTTACGACCCTAATATTTGGCATGTATGTGGAACCAAAACGTATGTAGTAATTATTTGATGGAGATATTTGCAGAAGAAGGAGGAGGAGGAAGAAGAAGAAGGAGGGGCGGCGGGTCGGGGCCGGGTCCGGATCAAACTCGCCCATGATCCCATCCCACCACCCACCCAAAAACCCATTACCCGACTCTTTTCATCTCCGGCTCACCACCACCACAACCACATCCGCCTCCTTCTATCTCCTGTTTTTCCACCAATCTTCGCGGTGGTGCTGTTAGCGACCTTCTTCCCTGACTGAAAATGGGTTCCGGGTCTCCGGCGGCGGTGGAAATCGGCAAACCAAACTGAAGATGGTTTTGCAATTCTTTGCCGAAAACAGTCGAACCCTTTTGAAGCCGTTGCTGGAAAGGCTGACTAAAAGGAAAATTGGATGGATATCAAGGTTGAAGAGGGCTTTTAAAAAACTATTAGGGGCTGAATCAAAAATTTTGAAAATATCCTTCTGCGGCATATGAAATTCCGGGGTGAATTTAAAATTTTAGAATTTTAGAATTTTCGAATTTTCGAATTTAAAGGATATTTAAGTCTTTTCAGGTCAATAACATACACCCAATCGCATATATGGCAAGTGTATTGCACGATCGGCTCGTAGGAGATGAATCTGTAATTTTAAAATTTCTAATTCAAGATTACAGTAGTGGCAAGTGCTAATATACTTCATTTCAATTGAAAAAGGGAAAAATCAAAATATTGTTTGTTCGATATTTTCTCTCTGTGTTTAATATATTTACGGCACTCGTTTATCAATACTTTAGTTTTCCACAATTTTGGGGTATGTAAGTTATAAATTAATTTTGGGACAATGATAATTATCTGTAGTTAATGAAACATATAGAATATTAAAAAAAAAAAAAACAAAACAAAACAAAACAAAACAAAACAAAAGAAATATAAATTGTGAATTACCTGTAAAATAAATGTGATACCAATTGTGAATTGTCCCACCTACAGCTGTGGAAACTTTCACTTTATGCTAAAGCAAAAGCAAAAGCAGAAAATGAAATATAATTAACAAACATAATCTTACATTATCAAAATCAGAGAAACAAGTAGTGTTAGCTATCTAGCAAGCGATAATGGCGGATGCTATCGTTTCCGTTGTGTTGGAGCGTATTGCAGCTCTCGTGGAACAGAAGATCCGATACGAAGTAAATTTGGTGAGAGGAGTGAAGAAGGAGATTCTCAAACTTTCCGTTGATCTGAACACGGTCAGAAACGTGTTGGAGGATGCAGAGAAGAAAGGATGCACGGACAAAGTCGTCAAAGGTTGGCTAACGAGGCTCGAGAACACGACCTGCGAGATGGACGACGTGTTGGAAGAATGGAACCACTCCATTCGCACATTTCAGATCGAACAACAATCGTCTGATCGTGATGTTGTTCCTCATAATAAGTGCACGGTACGCTTCTGCATCCCTCGCTCGTGTTTATGCTTCAAGAAAGTTTCTGTACGTCGTGAAATTGCCTTGAAGATAAAAGAAGTGAAAGAAGTGCTCGATCAAATTTTGGCGGAGAAAGATCGGTTCGGTTTAACGATCGCGGCGTCGCAGCCATCTGATCGTGAATCTTGGCGAGGTCAAACTACTTCTTTCGTCGACTTAGAGGAAGTTTATGGACGTAAGTTTGAGAGAGAAGCTCTGGTGAGAAAACTTCTCGGTGAAGGTGGTGGAAGCGAAGAAGGCATCCGCGTTGCATCCATAGTGGGTGTGGGTGGCCTTGGGAAGACAACTCTTGCTCAACTAGCTTATAACGATAGTCGAGTAATGAAATTTTTTAAATTAAGAATTTGGATATCTGTTTCGGATCCATTTGATGAGGTTGAGATTGCCAAAAGGATTGTCGAGAAAGCGGGAGGGCGTTTACCAAATAGCATGGATTTAGATGGGATGCTACAATGTGTAAAAGAGTCGATTTCCGGCAAAAAGTTTATTCTTGTTATGGATGATGTTTGGACGGAAGACGATACCAAGTGGAAACTCTTGAAAAACGCTCTCAAAAGTGGTGGAAAGGGTAGTAAAGTTTTGGTGACGACTAGAAACGAGAGGGTTGCAAAAATGATGATGGGGGAGTTTATCGAGAATGATTGGATGATCCATCGTTTAGGAGTTCTCAGTGATGAAGATTGTTGGTCGTTATTCTGTCGGATTGCCCTTTGTGGTAAGAGCAAGGATGCATGCGAAGAATTAGAGAACACGGGTAAGGAGATAGCCAACAAGTGCAAGGGGTTGCCACTTGCAATAAAGACTTTGGCGAGTGCTTTGCGTTTCAAGAATACATTGGAAGAGTGGGAGCGCGTGTTGGGTAGTGAGATATGGAAGTTGGAGGAAGTAGAAGACGACGTCTTCCGCCATTTGTTTCTGAGTTACAATGAGTTGTCCCCAACATTGAAGCATTGCTTCTCGTATTGCGCCGTGTTTCCTAAAGATACAAGAATCGATGTGGACAGTATAATTGAAAGATGGATGGCCATGGGTTACCTAGGATCGAATGCTGACGACGATGATGACTGGAAAGTTCGAGGGAGAGGGTACTTTGGTAATTTAGCGGCGCGTTCTCTGTTTCAAGACTTTAGGAAAGACGGCGATAAAGAAATAAATTCGTTTATGATGCACGACATTGTACATGATTTTGCTCAATTCCTGAGGAAGGATGTGGGGTCAATTAGGACGATGAAAACAACTTGCGGAACGTGTAACTCTTTGTTACTTTCCAAGGTCGAAAAATATCGTAGCTGCTTATTTGACAGCGAAGAAGTTGTCGAACCACATGTTTGCGATTCCCAAACAAGGGTGAGGTTGCTTGATTTAAGAAATTGCCGCTTGCATGATATTCCGAAAGAAATAGAAAAGTTGATTCACTTGAGGTGGTTGGACTTGGGTTATAACCTATTTTTCAGTGACGATTTCAAGTCCATTGGCAAGTTGTATAACTTGCAGTTTCTAAGGGTGGATCAATGTACGCTGGGAGGGATTTCGTCGGAAATCGGGAATTTGAGTGAGTTGATACACTTGGATTTGAGCTCGAATAGAATACTGAAAGAGTTGCCGGAGAGCCTATGCAATTTGAGTAAATTAGAAAGGCTGAATGTTAACGAGTGCCGCGAACTGTGTGGACTTCCACAAGGGATCCACAGGCTGAAGAAGCTCAAACATTTGTGTAACGAAGGTACCTATTCTCTGCAGCGATATCCACAAGGAATAGCCGAATTAACGAGCCTAGTCACGTTGAATAAATTCCTTCCTTGCGACGGGAATAAGGTGGGGTGGTTGAAGAATTTTAACCGAGTTAGAGGGAAAGTGGAGTTGTCGATTAAAATAAGCAGTTCGTGTTGTGATTTGGTAGAGGATGCTCGTGAGGCAGAGTTGGGGAAAAAGGTGCACATTCAAGATTTGACGATATTTTTTAACGGCGAAAAAGTGAACGAAAGTTCATCATCGTCGTCGTTGTCGTCTATTTGGAATGAAGTACTAGATGCTCTTCACCCGCATCCAAACCTCCAACAGCTGACTATTGAGTTCTATAACGGCTCTCGACTTCCGGGATGGATTGTGTCGCCCCTCAACAAACTCACATCTATTGTTCTCTTCTTTTGTGAACGCCTTCCGTCGCTGCCGCCGCTAGGTAAACTACCGCTACTCGAGACTCTTTCGATTCAAAATTTATGTGAATTGGAACATGTTGGACGGGAATTCCTCGGAATAGCAACAGCAACAACAACAACATCTTCGTGTTCGTCTTCGTGTTGGTCTTCGTCGGTGGTGGGCACTAATACTATTGATGGTGGCTTTCCCAAGTTAAAAACACTGACATTTTGGAGGTGTGAAAAGTGGAACAAGTGGGAGGACATTGGTGCCGAAGAAGACGAAGAAGAGTATTCAATAATGCGTTGCCTGACGCACAGGTTAATAATAATGCCTTGCCTGACGGAGTTGGAGATCCGTGGCTGCGATGGATTGACGGAGCTGCCGCAACGCCTCCTGCGAAAGGTGTCGCGGTCATTGGAGAAGTTGAATATTAGTGGTTCAACACAACTGAAACAATTTTACGCTGACGGCGATGGTCGGAAATTCATTTCCCGCCACATGAATCCACGCCTTCGCTTCGCGTATTAATTGAGATTAATTATTAGTTTTGTTTAGTTTCAATTCTTCTGCCCTGCCTGCCTGTAAGGTAATTGAGATGGCAGAGGTGGTAATTAATTTCATGCTTCTCTATTGCCACAATCCACACTTTGAGCTTTACTATTAGTTTTGTGCCATTCATCTTTCATTAATTCAATTAATTCAGGTTATATATTTTGCTTGCAACTCTAATTATTACCATTTATTAATTATAATATCAATATCACTTCTACTATTAAAATAAAGTTAGATAATGAATTATAAAAACAACACTACGGAGAGAATCTCCGACGTGGAATCTCGTGGTTCAGGCCCACCGGGTGTACATTTCTGTGTCGTTGGCGGCTGGCTGCCGCCACCGCGGTTGCTGCCGGAGAAGAACTTGTGATGGCCAGTATGAATAAAGTGGCAAAGCAAAAAAACTTTGTGAAATAATTAAGCCATGAAAAGTGGTGGAGCCCGGCGGTCACAGGCAGTTGAAGGTCGTGGTAGAATTCTCTGTTTAATTTCACTTGGTCAACGCATTATCCTACGTGGCCACATTCTTTTTTATTTATTTTTAAGAAACACAATCTACTTCAATTTTTTGCTTATTCAATTTTGTTTAGGGGTCTTTACAAATAAGTCCATCAATGAATATGAGACTTGCTTTTTATGGTTTGAAAATTGTGATTTACCGTTCAAAGACTCTCTCTCTCTCTAGAAAAAAACGCTCTCAAGTCGATTTCATCACAAATCATTCTTATTGGTGTGATATACGAACATAAATGAGTTCATCGGATGAAGATCTGGATAGCGGACATAACGAGGTAAAAATTCCGTCTTTTCGATCGAAAAAAATGGGCTAAACGTTTTAAAGCCCATCTCGG